CTACCTGCTAGCTAAACCCCGCCACAATAGTCATGGCGTCCTAGTTATCCTACCTTCCCGACATGGTAAGAGAGCAGGCCGCCCGTCCGGGGCCTGCTCATTACGCTTCCGCTGCGTACTTCCCTGTTTGCCGTCGTCGCGGCCTTCCTACTGCCTGCCGCCGTGGCATCTTTTCCAAGATGCCGCGGCGGCCTTTGTGTGGTTCGTCCCAGCATCGACGAGCAGCCGCGGCATCGACGCCATGCTGTGGTGGCGTCGTCGTGGTGCTGCGGCTGTGTCGTTGGCCTGTTGCCGTCACGCATCACCTGGTGCGGCCGTCACAGCACGCAGCCGTGGCGACGCCGTCAACGTCAGGCCGTGGCGGCGTGACGGCGCCGTCGTGCTGACGTCGCGGTGTCGACGTCCCGCTGCAGCGTCGACGCCGCTCTTGGACGGCGCCGTCGGGCTGCAGCCGACCGTGCGACGCCGGTGACGCTGCCGCCGCCCACACGCCACCATTCGCCCCTCCTCCCTGCCCCACCCCTTCTCCTTGCATCTCCTCTTCCTCCTGCCGCAGCTGCTGTCTTCGGCTCGGTCGCCGCCAGCCCGTGCCACACCGCCGAGAGCCCTTAGCCGCCGTAGTCGCCGCCTGTCCTCCTTGACGCAGCCGCCTTGAGCACAAGCTCCGCCGCTGTCGTCATTGAGGCCGCCCAGATGCGGCCTGCTGCCTCTCGTCCGGGGGTGTCATCACCTAGCACGAGGGGTCGATACCCGGCTGCTCACGAGAATGAGGGTGTCCGGGGTTAGGGGGTGTGCGTGTGGGTTGAGTGGGCTTGCCACTACCAAGCCTAGGGGGTGTGTTCAAATTATATTTTATATAATTGTAGGCTTGATAGTTGGGCTACTGCATCCTACTGTAGAGGGGATAACTCCCCTTCTTGTACCTGATTCTCTTCTAGTTCAACTACTCTTCTCTCTCGACATTCCTCTCGCCTACCTCCTAGCTAAACCCTGCCACAATAGTCATGGCGTCCTAGTTATCCTACCTTCAGGACATGTGGTGCTAAGACTAGAAAGAATGATTAGAGGAAGGGAGAACAGGGGAGCTATAGCATTTGGGTTGTACCCACTAAGAACATACCCTATCTAGCCTATAACTTCTACATAACAATATATGTATAAATTGAGAAAGCTTGCTACTTGTAGTGCAAATGGCATCGTTTTCATTCCACCGGGATCAAGTACAAAGAGTTCCTGATATATTCATATATTAGCACAAACTTCCTACACTAGGAGGGATCTGTCTATGCCGAGGATGATCCACTGAAGCGGTGCATGTTGAAGAGGGTAGACGAAGCGGGTTGGGTGGTCGGGAATTGAACTTGAGCTGGGAAAAATGAAAAACGTGGGTGGAGGAAGAATGACCTCCAACCCCATTATATGGTTGGAGAAGGGCGAATAGCGCGCTTTGACGATGCCTGAGATTGCGTTACAAGCAGCTTCGCATTCACAATACGCAATTTTGAAAGTGTGAACACTTTAAAAATTTACATATTGAGAAAGCTTGCTACTTGTAGTGCAAATGGCATCGTTCTCATTCCACTGGGTTGACCTGAGACATGGAGGGAGATGGCTGTCGGTGGCGTGCAAGAGCTCGAGAATGTTGTGCCGGGGATGGTGCCAACCCGAGGGTCTGTACGTTGCGGGAAGCCGCAACCAGTTGGTCGACGGCGGGTGTGACGTACATTTCTTTGGCCGTGTCGCTGCGCCATCGGCCAAGACGTTTGAAGAGCCGGTCCGCTACGCCTCCGTGGGCAGCGACGGTCGCATCACCTTTGTAAAAGGAGTGGGTGCCGAGGTGATGCTCACCCAGGCCGATGGACTGGAAAGCCTCCTTGCACCAGTTGCGTATGGTGGTGTATGATGGTGGCTTGCTGGTAGGGACGCCACCTGTGGCCACGCCGAACACCCGGATTAAGGGTCCGGTAGTGGTGGGTCCATAGCCTGCCAACCGGATGAAGCGTTTGGTGCATCGGACAGGGCAGAGGGGTCCTAGGACGGCAGCAATAGGAACCCATGAGCCCTGACCTGCCTGGTCCATTTTGGAGCGCGGGATGAGCAGCCACATTACGTCATCCTCAAACTGGATATCCTCCCAGTTGATGGCCACGAGATCGGAGTAGCTCAAAAATCCGATGTACATGAGAAGGGGAATGAGACCTTTCTGGAATGTGGCCGGGTCGTTGGCACCGATGAAGTGAGTAGCCATCTCGTGCACTTGATGTAAAGAGACCGGTTCCTTGGTCCGATTGGGCCGGGGACACTGTCGCTTGGCGAATTCTTGAACTTGTGACGTGAAGGGGCCAGTGCTGGGGCAGGATGCCCCAATCATGCGGTGAGCGAAGCTGATGGCCGAGCATGTGAGTTGTATCACTGAGAGAGTGGCCTTGTTTCGAATTGCATAGACAAGGTACAAGGCGAGTGTCATGTCCGTGGTTGGCAGGAAGGGAAGGTTGACCTT